CCCAAGTCCTAAACCCAAAGTCCTAAACCCAAAGTCCTAAACCCTAAACTCTAAACCCTAAACCCTAAACCCTAAACCCTATGTGATACCCTATGTGCATTTAACTGTCTCTCACCCTGATCGTATTAGGCGGCAGAGCCATCATCCGAAACATGAACCAAATCAGGGCAAAAAAGCCTCAATGCAGCATCTCCAACCGTACCCTTCAAAGCTTCCTCCGGGGTCTGAAATTTGTGGGCTCTTTCTTGGGGGGGAGCCTCGGGGTGATTACCTTTAGGGTTCACCCCTAAACCCTCAACCCTAAACCCTAAACCCTGAACCCTAAACCCTAAACCCTAAACCCTAAACCCTAAACCCTAAACCCTAAACCCTAAACCCAGGGAGCCCTAAACCCTAAAGGCTTAGGGGCCCCTGGCAAGATGCCGTCTCCTGAGGGCAGTGGACCTTGACGCCAAAGACTCCAAAGAGGACAAAGGGGAGGACCCCCATGTTCTCAGCCCACTCCTCTCTTGGGGTGGAGTGAGGGTTGGCGTGTCTGTCCCTCAACCTACTCTACACCCTACACCCGAAACCCTAAATTTTGATGTCGGCCTTAAGTTTTCAGTCCTCGGCTTTCAGGAGATATCTGTAGGAGACGAGGACATGTTCTGGGTTTGGGGCCTCGAGACCCCACATCCTAAGCTTTGAACTAAACCCGAAGCCATCCTAAAGCCCAAGTTTGCGGGAGGGTCTGGATTTTGGGTTTAGGGTTCAGGGCTGACTGCCTGTGCACGCCGCACCATGCTCCCCCTTCCCCCAAAACATGTTCGGGCCCCGGAAACTAGCAGGTGTAGGGTTTAGGGTTTGGGGTTGCTCCGGAAACCTCCGAAACCTTGAGCCCCAGACCCTCAACCCTACAGGAACCTCCAAAAACCATTGTTTTGGACAACCCCCCCCCCCCCCCCCCCCCCACGCCCCCTGCCCCCTTCATGGACAAGTAAGGACAGCATGGTCTCAGAGACTCGGAGGGTCGCGTTGCAGTTGATTAGGGTTCAAGGTTGGGATGTTCCCCCTTATACTAACAGTGATTATAATAGGGGGGTACTTTAATCCCTATGAAGGATTGTTAGTATACGGGGGAACATCCCAAGGCTTGGGGCTCAGGACGCCGAAACGCAAGAAGAGCTAGACGAGAAGATAGCCCTCGGCTCAGCAGCGTTTTAGGGTTTAGGGTTCAGGGTTTAGGGTTTAGGGTTTAGGGTTTTTGGGTTTAGGGTTTAGGGTTTAGGGTTTAGGGGGCGCCTGGCTGGTTCTTTGGCTTCGGAGGCTTGCCAAGAGCGACCGATGTACCCCATAAGGCAAAAGGACATGTGCCTTACGTATTGGTAGATTCCCCGGTTATTTTCAGGTAGATAGGTAACCCTAGGTGAGGGTTGGAAGGGTTGAGGGCCCAGAACCCCCTAAACCCTAAACCCTAAACCCCAAACCCCAAACCCCAAACCCTAAACCCTAAACCCTAAACCCTAAACCCTAAACCCCAAACCCTAAACCCTAAACCCTAAACCCCAAACCCCAAACCCCAAACCCTAAACCCTAAACCCTAAACCCTAAACCCCAAACCCTAAACCCCTAACCCAACTCCCTCAGGTTAAGGGTTTTGGGGTTCCCGCCTTCGGGAGTCGGTTCCCCCGGGTGCACTCGGGCGCGGGCAGGCCAAGAGCAAGGCAGCGGCATCCGACCTGTGGTACAAGCCGGAGGAGGCGCTCCGAACCGGATCAACCCTAAACCCTAAACCCTAAACCCTAAACCCTAAACCCTAAACCCGAAACCCGAAACCCGAAAGACCCTAAACCCTAAACCCTAAACCCCGAACCCCGAAACCTTCAACCTAATACCTCAAACCTCCGGCCCTAAACCCCAAAGCCGCAGTCCCGCAAGCCCGAAGCCCGAAGTTTCATAAGAGCCCTTCAGTCTACGGGCTCTCGCTCGGGAGGATTCGGTTTGGAGGAGTCGTCGGGTCTAAGGTTTAGTGTTCGGAACCCTCGGGTTTAGGAATCAGGGTTTGAGATCAAGGGCTGAGGGCCCTTGTCTTTTCCACCCGAAAGCCCCTGAAACAACACGGCGCACGTATCTGAGGCCTTGCAGCTTGCCGCACCGCGGCCTTCACCCAATGTCTTTAGGGTGTTTTTTTGAGGGGAGGGGGGGAAGGATTTTGGGTTTAGGGTTTAGGGCATCCCTTGTCCCAGCAGAAGCCGAATGCAGCTACACTGCTTTGGAACTCACCGACCAGCAACTGCTTCGCGCGAAACCCTTTGCCCCCAGTGTTGAGGGGGGGTGGGGGGGGGGAAAATTAGACTCCTCAGACTAGACTCTCCTAAGCGCCCTAAACCACATAACCCTAAACCCTAAATCCCTGCTACTTAGGAGGCATCCAGCTCGGAGTCCTGGCAGCTTCCAGAAAAGGCCGAGGTGGAGAGGGGTTCGGGGGGGAGTCCCCTCTAGGACCTATCTGAAGGATTTAAGGGCTTAGGGTTTGGGTTTAGGGTTTAGAGTTTAGGGTTTAGAGTTTAGGGTTTAGAGTTTAGGGTGTAGGGTTTAGGGTTTAGGGTTCAGGGTTCAGGGTTTAGGGTTCAGGCTAGTTACACCCTCAACCCATCCCCACTTATTCCGAGGCAAGCCATACCGCACCATTTGTACAGGGCCCCAAGCCTGCGACCCTGCTGTGTTTAGGGTTTAGGGTTTAGGGTTCAGGGTTTAGGGTTTAGGGTGTAGAGTTTAGGGTTTAGGGTTTAGGGTTTAGGGTTTAGGGTGATACAACCCAAAGAAGCACTACAATACTGGTCATACCCTGAATCCAAGTTCCCGGAGAACCATTATGAACAGCAATTGGCAGCCTTAAAATGCCTAATTATGGTATGGTCCCTTAGAATTCTCCGGCACTTGCAACTACCCTGAGACATTTAATCTTGGTGCGCTGTGGGGTTGGTTTAGGGTGTAGGGCTTATGGGATTCAGGCAAGACTTTGCTTTATACCCTGAACCCTAAAAGCCTTGAAGCGTTGTCGGGTTGGAGGAGAAGTGGCGGTTCCTCCTGCAGAGTCTTTGGCGCAGAGCCGCAGATTACATCTCAAAAGCCCGAAAGGTTCCTCCCTTACCCAAGATACCCATCGTGATTGACACGTCCGCAACCCCCTAAACCTAAACCCCCATGACGGCCCAAGCTCAAGCGCTCCCCCTACATGATACTAAAAAGCCCAATCCCTAGACCCTGAACCCTAAGCCCTAAACCCCAAACCCCAAACCCTAAACCCTGAACCCAAAACCCTAAACCCCAAACCCGAAATCCCAAACGTTGAGTTCTTCTTTCCGGGGGAATCACTCTTTCTCTGCGCGGGCCCATGGATCAGGCCTTCCTGGCACGCCTGGATAGACGGCTTGAGGACCTGGGTTCTAGGGTTTAGGGTTCAGGGTTCAGGGTTTAGGGTTTAGGGTTTAAGGTTTAAGGTTTAGGGTTTGGGTTTAGGGTAACGCTCCACGACTCCATGTTCCTGACACAAGCCCGCGTTTGCCCTCCTCCCGCGAGGTTTCACATCTCTTCAATATTGAGTTATGTTGTTGACTTTTGCTGAGAGAGTTACATACCCTGAAGACAAAAATGGAATCCCTGGATGAACATGAAAGGTACATTGATTCCCAACTAAATCCCTAAACCCCTAAACCCCTAAACCCCTAAACCCCTAAACCCCGAAACCCCGAAACCCCGAAACCCCTAAACCCCTAAACCGAAACCCCTAAACCCCTAAACTCCTAAACCCCCATAGTGCCAGGACATCGAGTCCTTGGGTCCAGACCTGGACGCTGCGCTTGGCTCGCACTCCTGAGGGTCTAAGGGTTTTAGGGTTTAGGGTTTGGGGTTTAGGGTTTAGGGTTTAGGGTTTAGGGTTTGGGGTTTAGGGTTTGGGGTTTAGGGTTTAGGGTTTGGGGTTCAGGGTTCAGGGTTTGCTGTGGGCTATTCCAGTACCTTCCGGATACTTTAGGGTACCCGAACACACCCAGGGATTAGGGTCTAAGGGTTTAAGGGCTTGAGGGGTTGAGTGTTCAAGGTCGGGATGTTCCCTCTCATACTAACAGTCCTGAATAGGGATTACCATACCCCTCATTGTAATCCCTATCAAGGATTGTTCAGGGGGAACATCCCAAGTTGAAGGGTTTAAACCCTAAACCCTAAACCCTAAACCCAAAACCCTAAACCCAAAACCCTAAACCCAAAACCCAAAACCCTAAACCCTAAACCCTAAACCCTAGAAGTGCGCCTTTGCTGGAGATGTGCTGAAGGCATCTCCCTCTGCGTCAGATGTGGGGATTTACAATATTAGGGTTTAGGGTTTAGGGTTTAGGGTTTAGGGTTTGGGGTCCTGATGATAAGGGGATCCTACTATTTGGGGGGGTCTATATAAGGGGTCCCCCATTATCGTAAACCCAGATGTGATTTCCGCAGATCGGGTGCGGGCTGACCACCCTGGACCCTAAACCCTAAACCCCAAACCCTAAACCCTAAACCCTAAACCCTTAACCTCCAACAAACACCAGCCAAAACCAAAAGCTCCCCAAAAAAGCCCGTGGAATCCATCCGAACTCGCTTCCTGCGCCGATCCCGCAGATCTGGCCCCAAGGCCATCGTGGTTTTTTTGTGTGGGGGTTTGTTGGTTTCGAGTTTCGGGTTTAGGGTTTAGGGTTTATAGGGTTTAGGGTTTGGGGTTTGGGGTTTAGGGTTTAGGGTTAATGGGGCTGAGGTATCCGAACCCTAGGCCCCTAAGCCCTGAGCCCTTTGAGCCCTTTGAACCCACAGCTCCAAGCCCTAAACCCTAAACCCTCAACCCCAATCCCTACACCCGAAACCCGAAACCCTAAACCCTAAACCCTAAACCCAAAAGGTTTACAGAGCCAACCGGGTGTGGTCTTGTTGTGCAGAGATCGACGTCTTAGAAGAGCGATCCATGTACGGGCGCGCTGTTCTTAGCCATGCCTGGGGGCACCGAAGGCAAGGATGGCGCAAGTGACTTCGTCATAGTGGGGGACGTTTTTTTAAGGGTACTTAAAAACTCAACAGGGAATAGAAGTTTGAGCTTTAAATACTATCCCGGCCATGAACTAGGTGAGGAGTGCGAGGAGTTGTCCGGTTCCTCCTCTTCTTCGTGGTTCCACGCACTTCGGGACAGTGTCCAGGCAGCTCTGTCAGACACCCCAGGAGCGTCCCCGGTCTTATCATCGGACTCTGAAGACTTAGTGGCTGAGTGAGTACACTTTACACTATTTGGGCTACGATAATCCCCTACAGAGCTGAAAGTGTACAGGGTTTAGGGTTTAGGGTTAGGGTTTAGGGTTTAGGGTTTAGGGTTTAGGGTTTAGGGTTTAGGGTTTAGGGTTTAGGGTTTAGGGTTTAGGGTTTAGGGTTTAGGTTTTAGGGTTTAGGGTTTAGGGTTTAGGGTTTAGGGTTTAGGGTTTAGGGTTTAGGGGCTTCTGAACTCAGTTCAACTAAGGAAGATGAGGATGCGCCGGCCCCGAGCGGCCCTTCCACCCGAAGTGCTGCGCCATCGCGCCCGAACCAGTGCATACTGCATTGGTCCCGACATGGCTGCCGAAGCGGCGATGCGTGCAAGCTCCTGGGCTCGGCTTGCAGGGTTTAGGGTTTAGGGTTTAGGGTTCAGGGTTGAGGGGTACTTTTGTTTTGACCAGCTCATGTGGTCGTGAATATTTGCGTACCACATTTGTTGCATCAGTACCCCACAGTTTCAACAAACAGGGCAGACAGGAAGCATAGCCTTTGTCACCAGGGTTCAACAAAGACCCAGGTACTGCCACAGGACACCTCCGTTAAGCAAGTCAAAGTCGCTGCACAGACCACGAAAGCAGACTCGCGACAAGTACAAGGCTGCTATTTACAACGTCATTCGCAAGCACGAGGACCGGCGCGACCCTGGTGCCACGGCTTAGTCTGATGGCTGAGCCCGCCGCAACCCCTAAACACTTGGTTTAGGGTTTAGGGTTTAGGGGTTAGGGTTTAGGGTTTAGGGCAATTTGGATGATCATGGGACTAGTAAACTGGGATATAAGTACCCTAATTGGGGTTATGAGTACTTGCAACCTTTCTAAGTCCCCTGATCCTTTCAGTAGGGTTTGGGCTTTCGGCTTGAGGGGTGTAGGGCTTACCGTCTAGCCGGGTTTCGGCTTACCAGCACTCTGCACCCCTGTGAGAGGACGACCTGCAGCGAGCTCAGGACGAACTGCAGGAGTCGAGTCACTGAGTTGATCTATAGGACTAAACCTTAAATCCTAAACCCTAAACCCTAAACCCTAAACCCTAAACCCTAAACCCTAAACCCTAAACCCCAAGAGCCCCTAAATGTGTAGGGGCCTCAAAGTGTCACGCAGGAAATGGCGCACAAGAGCCCGTACTTGCGCATCCTCCTGAACCTTGCCTCGGAACTCTGGGGTTTAGGGTTAGGGGTTTAGGGTTTGGGTTTAGGGTTTGGGGTTTAGGGTTTAGGGTTTATAGGGGTTAGGGCTTAGGGTTTGGTCCTTGTGTCGATCCTGGGGGTTTTAATAGGCGATACCCATGCGCGAGCCTTGCACAGTCCCTTGACTTACCAGGGCTTAGGGTTTAGGGTTTATATAAACCCTAAACCCTAGACCCCAGACCCTATACCCTAAACCCTAAACCCTAAACCCGAAACCCCAACAATCAAAAGGGCCCTAGTCCGAGGTTTAGGGCCACCTCCCCCTTGGAATGGCCACGGGAAGTGCGACGCATGGTTCGAAGTTCCCCAATACTGATATTATGTATATATATATATATGTATTCTTGTGGTATACATCTAGAGTGTGCTTTGCATATATATATATATATATATTGGTATGTATATATATAGAGTATATGCATAGTATACAGCATACAAATAAATAAATAAAAAGATATATATATATTATATTATATTATATATATAGATATACACACATACATATTTCCCCCTCCTCCCCCCCCCCCCCCGCCCACTACGTCCTTGAGTCCTCAGGCACGGCATCCTCAACGCACCGGAAGCGCCGGCCCCGTGGCTTTTCAGCTACTTCCTATAGAGCTCCCCCTCGGCGAGGGGGGAGCATGAAATGTAAGAGGGTGCCTCTTTGTGTCCTGTGTGTAAGTGAGTGAGTGAGTGAGTGAGTGAGTGAGTGTGTGAGTGTGTGTGTGTGTTTTTTTGGCTGTGCGTGTGTGGTTGGTGTGTGGTGTGTGGTTGGTTGGTGTGCGTGTGCGTGTGCGTGTGCGCGCGCGCGCGCGTGCGCGTGCGCGTGCGCGTGCGCGTGCGCGTGCGCGTGCGCGTGCGCGTGGGCGTGGGCGTGGGCGTGGGCGTGGGCGTGGGCGTGGGCGTGGGCGTGTGCGTGTGCGTGTGCGTGTGCGTGTGCGTGTGCGTGTGCGTGTGCGTGTGTGTGTGTGTGTGCGTGGGTGCGTGGGTGTGTGTGGTTGTGTGTGTGTGTGGTGTGTGTGTGCGTGTGCGGTGCGTGTGCGTGTGCGTGCGTGCGTGCGTGCGTGCGTGCGTGCGTGCGTGTGTGCGTGTGTGCGTGTGTGCGTGGGTGCGTGCGTGCGTGCGTGCGGGCGGGTGTCCGTGTGCGCGTATGTGTGAGCGCGTGTGCGTTAAAGGGTGTGTTCGTGTGCGGTGCGCGTGCGTGCGCATGCGTGCGCGTGCGTGCGAGTGGCTGAACTCAGCATTTCAGTGTTCCCGATCTTGTCGTCTTTGATAAAGGAAGCCCCAAAAAATGACGTTCCCCTTCTTTCAGATAGTTACTCCTTTTTTTCGGGCCGTGTGACTTCTGTGTGTGTGTGTGTGTGTGCGTGTTTCTGTCTGTGTCACTATCGGTGTCTGCGTCCGCGTCGCGTCTGCGTGTGTGTCTGTGTGGAAAACTCGGTTTTCGTACCCGCCTGGTACAGTACTGGCCACGCCTCGTGAAAATTGCGGTTGTCCGTGCCTGTAACATGAATGCCATGGGCGGAGGTTGCCGCGGGTACCGAATAATTCTTCTGGGGACAGGCAGGTTCCTATGGAACCTGTGAACGCTTCAGCCCACGGCCCAACGCCGAAAATCCCCAATTCTCTATAAACAAATTCATAACCTCATAACAAGCTAATAAATGCCCTCAAACACCCTGTAAATCTTGTGAATACCCTGAGAATACCCTGCAAATACCCTACGAGTACCCTATGAAGACCCTATGAATACCCTGTGAATACCCCATGAGTACCCCGTAGCCCTAAACCCTAAACCCTAAACCCTAAACCCTAAACCCTAAACCCTAAACCCTAAACCCTAAACCCTAAACCCTAAACCCTAAACCCTAAACCCCCCTATTCCCCAACGGAACGCAAGCCGAGGCCGCGGTGACCACGAGTGCCTCAGGAGCCCGCCACTAAAAGAGTTTAGGGGGTTTAGGGTTTCGGGTTTAGGGTTTAGGGTTACCTAATAGGGCTTATAGTGGTCTAGGGAGGATGACCCGTTCATTTCCCAGAAGGATCATCAGAGCGGCCAGCGCAGCCCAAACCATTTTAGGGTTCAGGAGCCTAGTCAACTACCAACATCGTCCCTGTTGAGCCCCGACATAACTCTTGCTTTTGTAAGCTAGTCTTTTGTAAGCTGCCGAACAAATCATTCGGCGCGATATGGCACATTATAGATCACGTTAAGCCAAGCTTTTCTCTGAGTACCTGAGCGCATCGCCGGCGTTGTGCAACCTGGTGGTGCACTCCCCTCCGCCCGTCCGCAACACAAATGGAGAGCGCGTCCTCCGGTGAGGAATCTACACGCCGATCAAACCCCTTCCATACACAACCGACAGCATCCTTGACCCTAGTACACAAGCCTACAGAGTCTTTCTGTCATCTCTATGCAACGGCATTTTCTGAACTATTGCCCGAAGTTGAGAGTCGAAAAAGATGAGTGCCATAGCATGCGCACTTTGAGGCTATGGTCCTGAAGAGCTCAAAACACTGATCCGACACAGACTCACCCCCAGGTTGTTCCAGCTGAAGCAGCGTCCCTGAAGGCTTGAAGGCACTCTAAACTCCAAGCCTAGGCGTTTTGGGGGGCGGAGGGGAGGGGAGCGTTTAAAGAGCTGCGTTTCGTCTCGAAAGAGCTGTATGAGCCCCAGACTTGTACGGGTAGTTTTGGGTTGGGATGTTCCCCCTTATACTAACAGTCCTTAGTAGGGATTATAGTACCCCCCAAGTATACTCCCTAGTAAGGACTGTTAGTATAAGGGTGAACAGTTCAAGATTTAGGGGTTTGGGTTGTGGTTTCTACAATCCCACATGACCTCAGATCCGGAACCCTAAGCCCAGACCGGGGCTTCTTAGAGCGCTGTCGTTTGCTGTTTGTTGTCTGTTGTTTGCTGTTTGCTGTTTGCTGTTTGTTGTTTGTGGTTTGCTGTTTGCTGTTTGTTGTTTGTTTGTCTTTTTTTGTTGTTTGTTGTTTGTTGCTTTGCTGTTTGATGTTTGTTGTTTGCTGTTTGTTGTTTGTTGTGTGTTGTCTGTTGTTTGTTGCTTGTTTGTTGTTTGTTGATTGTCGTTTGTCGTTTGTCGTTTGTGTTCGTTGTTTGTCGTTTGCGGTTTGTTGTTCGTTGTTTGTTGTTCGTTCTTCGTTGTTCGTTGCTTGTTGTTCGTTGTTGTTGCTTTGTTGCTTTGTTGCTTTGTTGCTTTGTTGCTTTGTTGCTTCGTTGCTTCGTTGCTTCGTTGCTTCGTTGCTTCGTTGCTTCGTTGCTTCGTTGCTTCGTTGCTTCGTTGCTTCGTTGCTTCGTTGCTTCGTTGCTTCGTTGCTTCGTTGCTTCGTTGCTTCGTTGCTTCGTTGTTTCGTTGTTTCGTTGTTTCGTTGCTTCGTTGCTTCGTTGTTTCGTTGTTTCGTTGCTTCGTTGCTTCGTTGCTTCGTTGCTTCGTTGCTTCATTGCTTCGTTGCTTCGTTGTTTCGTTGTTTCGTTGTTTCGTTGTGTGGTTGTGTTGTTGTGTTTTGTTGTGTTTGTTGTGTTGTTGTGTTGTTGTGTTGTTGTGTTGTTGTGTTGTTGTGTTGTTGTGTTGTTGTGTTGTTGTGTTGTTGTGTTGTTGTGTTGTTGTGTTGTTGTGTTGTTGTGTTGTTGTGTTGTTGTGTTGTTGTGTTGTTGTTTTGTTGTTTTGTTGCTTTGTTGTTTTGTTGTTTTGTTGTTTTGTTTTTTGTTTTTGTTTTTTGTTTTGTTGTGTTGTTGTGTTGTTGTTTTGTTGTTTTGTTGTTTTGTTGTTTTGTTGGTTTGTTGTGTTGTTGTTTTGTTGTTGTGTTGTTTTGTTGTGTTGTTGTTTTGTTGTTTTGTTGTTTTATTGTTTTGTTGTTTGTTGTTTTGTTGTTTTGTTGTTGTGTTGTTTTGTTGTGTTGTTGTGTTGTTGTTTTGTTGTTTTGTTGTTTTGTTGTTTTGTTGTTTTGTTGTTTTGTTGTTTTGTTGTTTTGTTGTTTTGTTGTTTTGCTGTTTTGCTGTTTTGCGGTCTTGCTGTTTAGTTGTTTTGCTTTTTTGCTGTTTTGTTGTTTTGTCGTTTTGTTGTTTTGTCGTTTTGTTGTTTGGTTGTTTTGTTGTTTTGTTTTTTTGTTGTTTTGTTTTTGGTTGTTTTGTTGTTTTGTTGTTTTGTTGTTTTGTTGTTTTGTTCTTTTTTTGTTGTTTTGTTGTTTTGTTGTTTTGTTGTTTTGTTGTTTGTTGATTGTTGTTTGTTGTTCTTTGTTTGTTGTTTGTCGCTTGTCGTTTGCCATTTGTCTTTTGTCGTTGGTTGTTGGTTGTTGGTCGTTGATCGTTGATAGTTGATAGTTGGTTGTTGGTTGTTGGTTGTTGTTTGCTGTTTGTTGTTCGTTGTTTGTTGATTGTTGATTGTTTTTTTTTTTTTTCTTTGTTTTTTTGTTGGTTGTTGTTTGTTGTTTGTCGTTTGTGGTTTGTCATTTGTCGTTTGCCATTTGTCGTTTGTGGTTGGGGTTGTTGGTTGTTGGTTGTTGGTCGTTGGTCGTTGATAGGGTTGTTGGTTGTTGGTTGTTGTTGTTGTTGTTGTTGTCGTTGTTGTTGTTGTTGTTGGTTGTTGGTTGTTGGTTGGTGGTTGTTGTTTGCTGTTTGCTGTTTGCTGTTGGGTGTTTGCTGTTTGTTGTCCGTGTTGGTTGTCAGTTGTTGGTTGCTGGTTGTTTGTTGTTTGCTGCTCGCTGTTTGCTGTTTGCTGTTTGTTGTTTGTTCTTTGTTGGTTTTTTTTTTGTTGGTTGTTGTTTGCTGTTTGCTGTTGGCTGTTTGCTGTTGGCTGTTGGCTGTTTGCTGTTGGGTGTTTGCTGTTGGGTGTTTGCTGTTGGGTGTTTGCTGTTGGGTGTTTGCTGTTTGTTGTTTGTTGTTTGTTGTTTGTTGTTTGTTGTTTGTCGTTTGTCGTTTGTCGTTTGTCGTTTGTTGTTTGTCGTTTGTCGTTTGTGGTTGGTTGTTGGTCGTTGGTTGTTGGTTGTTGGTTGTTGGCTGTTGTCTGTTGTGTGTTGTCTGTTGCGTGTTGCTTCTTGCTCGTTGCTTGTTGTTTGTTGCATGTTGTTTTTTTTTTTTTTTTTTTTTTTTTTTTTTTTTTTTTTTTTTTTTTTTTTTTTTTTTTTTTTTTTTTTTTTTTTTTTTTTTTTTTTTTTTTTTTTTGTCTTCTTGTTTTTGTTTTAGTGTTTTTTTGTGTTTATTGTTTGTTGTTTGTTGTTTGTTGTCTGTTGTCTGTTGTGTGTTGTCTGTTGTATGTTGTCTGTTGTATGTTGTCTGTTGTCTGTTGTCTGTTGTCTGCTGTGTGTTGTTTGTGTTGGTTGTTTGTTGTTTGTTGTCTGTTGTCTGTTGTGTGTTGTTTGTTGCTCGTTGTTTGTTGTTTGGTGTTTGGTGTTTGTTGTTTTTTGTTTGTTGTTTGTTGTTTGTTGTTTGTTGCTTGTTGCTTGTTGCTTGTTGCTTGTTGCTTGTTGCTTGTTGCGTGTTGCGTGTTGCGTGTTGCTTGTTTGTTGTTGGTTGTTGATTGTTGCTTGTTGTTTGTTGTTTGTGTTTGAGGTTTGTTGTTTGTTGGCTGTTGGCTGTTGGCTGTTGGTTGTTGGGCTATTGGGCTGTTGGCTGTTGGTGGGTGGTGGGTGGTGGGTGGTGGTTGGTTGTTGGTTGTTGGTTGTTGGTTGTTGGTTGTTGGTTGTTGGTTGTTGGTTGTTGGTTGTCGCTTGTCGCTTGTCGCTTGTCGCTTGTCGCTTGTCGCTTGTCGCTTGTCGCTTGTCGCTTGTCGCTTGTCGCTTGTCGCTTGTCGCTTGTCGCTTGTCGCTTGTCGCTTGTCGCTTGTCGCTTGTCGCTTGTCGCTTGTCGCTTGTCGCTTTTCTCTTGTCGCTTGTCGCTTGTTGCTTGTCGCTTGTCGGTTGTGGGTGGTTGGTTGTGGGTTGTTTTTTTTTTTTTTTGCCTGCCTTCTTGTTACTTGTTCGCTTTGGTTTGTAGGTTCTGCATGTCGGATGACATCAGCATACATGCCTTAAAAGGTTCTCAGCGCGGTTTCAGGAGCTGTTCTTCGCGTACCGGGACGTCAGCCTCCAGCATTGATTCCGCACTCCATGGACGCCTTTGACCCCGATGATCTCTCGGATGTGGAGCCTGATAAGGATCCTGTTCCGTCGGAGCGGGCAAGCGGATCCTTTGTTCAGCTGTGAGTCGCTGGAAACCCTAAACCCTAAACCCTAAACCCTAAACCCTAAACCCTAAACCCTAAACCCTAAACCCTGGCTCACAAAGCACCACCTAAAGAGACAGAGCCTGGAGTCGATTGTCGCTGCAGTGTCATGCAGGGAAAAAGAGCAATCATTTGAGCACCAGCCCAAATGTCTCTTCCCATCGGTATCGCATAGCAACGGTCGGAGTTCTTCAAGACATTTCGGCTGCTTCTCAATCAAGCTCCCCCTCCCTGCTTTTCAGCTAGTTTTTTTGGCCGCGGCCTCGCAAGGGGCCTTGGGTTCTTGAGGGGTTTAGGATGTTTGGATTTCCGCTTTGGTCTTGTAATCGAGTATGCAGAGCTGGCCTTCGCCCACACACCA